TATGAGAGCTCAGTTAAATCTATAAAAAGCTTTATAACAAAAGTATAATTGTTTAAAATAGAGAGAGAAAGAAGGAAAGAGAGAGAAAGGATGAGGCTGATAATTTAATAAGAGTATTTCATTGCTATCAGAAGCAATATTCGGCTATTCTGAAGATGAAATAGCTGATTATTTGAATGAGCAAACTGAAGATTTTTTGAAAATCACTGATTAATGCAGCAGTTCAATAAGACAACATAGCAATAAAAATAGCAATGTACTAGCAAAAGCTTGTAATTATATGGAAAACATTGTTATTAGTTTAATTTCATCAAATATAGTATATAGTAACCCGGATTTTTTTGTGGGAGAATTAGTTTTATTTTTTTTATATTACAAGCACTAAGCTACTCTTGTGCTGATGCGGTTATCTTTCGAACTGATTGATTAATGCTTTCCTTAGAGATTGGGGAATTTTGAATCCAATTATTCTAAACCACCCGAATTTCTCCAATACAATAATTTTAGAATATAAATTTGAAATAATTTGCAATTTCCATTCTGTGAAAATAGCGCGCAGAGCCATCGGGAAGTAAAAGAATAGATAAAATAAATTAAATTGTTCATTTTGATTAAGATGATATGCTCGATAGAAATTTTGTAACTTTTCGTTACTGTAAGAGAAATATACTGTAAATAATAAGCGCAAATAAAAGGAAAAGCTATTTTTACATATGTTTCCAAATTAAATCTTTTCTGTGATGAAATTATAAATGAAATTTTACAAATTCATATCTTACTTTCTTGGTTATAAAATATTAGCTTGAATTAATCAATATGTTATAAACTAATTTACTAAAATTAATTAATACACTGCGATGAAAGATAGAGGAAATGCAGTTATTTTTTATTTTTTTTTTTTCGTAGGAATTTAAATCATTTCAAGATGTGGTAAAATTGTATTTGAAAATTTGGATTGTTTTTGAGATAAAAAGGATTGTTATAGGGAAAATGCTCAATGATGAAAAGAGGCAGTTTTGATATGGCAAAGAAAATTGCTTGCAATGAATTATAGCAAATATTGAACGAACCTTTGTGTGCTTTTTATGTTAAATTAGAATAAAATTAAAAGATTAAAAAGCAATATAAAACGATGAGTGGAAAGAGTATGCCATATGTTTTTTTTTTCCGTCCCAGTTTATTAATTTTATTCAAAAAAGTAAGAAAATATTTCAATAAAAAAAAGGTTAATCTCTTTCTATGCTTTAATAATTGTTTTTTGTTCATTTCATTTATTCATCATTGAAATTGGATTAATTGCCAATATCTGTTGAAAAATTATCACTATATAAATATAGATCCAGAATTATTAATTGATTGATTAATTTCTTTATTTATTCATGGATTTTTTTCAATAAACGAATACTATATATACAGTTTTATAAGCTTTTAATAGTATTTATTTATTATAATATAGAGAAATTTTTGCTCGGGCAGACGTATTATCGGATGAATCATAATAAATTAGCCAATTAATTATCATAACAATTACTTATAATCATGAATCATAAATTACCATAATGACTAGTTAAAAATGACTGAGAGATTATAGACATTTTTTTTCACATTATTAGAAAGCTATATCAATTTAAATATTATGCAAAATTCAGTAAATGAAAATATCTCTGATGCATCACTAGCGTAATTCACAATTGCTAAACATATGATATATATCAGAATTTATACAATTTAATTGAAGTCAATTAAAAGAATTACAAATAAGACCAGACATAAATAAGCAGTGAAATTTGCCTTGATAAGTTAAACGATTAAGTTAGCTCGGACTGTCTTTTTTTTAACCAAATATTTGCAGCTTAGATTGAAAATTTTGCTGTTTCTCAGAATTTCTTTGAATGAGGATAGAAGCAACTGGCATAATTGCATGATTACGCTGCTATCAATGATGCACTTTGTTGAAAAGCTGTGAATGATTTTTGTTTGATTTGTTGAAGGAAATGAATATATGACTATCCTTCTAAATTCACTAAATAATATCTTCATTTAAATTGGCAATGTGAGGAGTTTTTTTTTAGTAAATTAAAGAGCACAGGAAATAAGACATTTAACTATTTTCATTTTGTTAACCATTACTTGGACAGACTAGAAACGGTTAAAAAAGAGCATTTATTCCTAGTAGCAAAAAAAAGATTGATGTGACTTTTGATTTGCAATTTGCGAAGCTTTTTTTTTTTCTCTGCTGCTCCTTCAGTTGTGATGTGATATGTTTCTGTGAAATGTGTTTGTTTCATATGTGTGAAAATTTCTTTTCAACAACTAAAAATATGCAAACAATCTCAAAAGCATAAAAATCAAATTATATAGTATCAAGAATATATCATATTATCAGATTTTTCAATATATAAAGAGATCAATCATCATCAGCATCAGAATTAGAAGTCCCTAATTGGAGGGATAATCTTCGTTCCAGTTCAGGAAAAATATTTACCCAACGTTCCATGCGACTCTGGAAAATGAAAAAATAAATTTAAAAAAAATATATAATTTAAAGAAGAAAGATAATCATCGGACTTGTTGTGAATAATTTACATTTCTAGAATCGAGTAATTTTTGAAATTAATGCATGATATTGAATAAATTGAAAATAGAATATGTAAATTATTGTGCAAAATGGCTTTTTTAGCACATTTCAACTCCAATAACAGCATAATATTTTGAACACTATCTATCTTGAAAAATTCAGAATGATATACGTTTTATGTTTTCTCGAGTGCAAATTTGATTCTTGAATGTTTCATATCAAGAATACATTTTTTGATATGAAACATTCAAGAATCAAATTCACACTACCATTATGTGCTATCACAATTACTTTTAAAGCACTCTGATGTTTCTAAGAAAAACCTTAGCACTTTCAGATTTCGGCAAAAAAAATGAAATAACATTACTTGTAATGCTTCATTTGCTTCGGGCACTATGGGCTTACAGCCATCAAGTACATATTGTATAATTTCATCAAGTCGGGTAACCAATTTTTCACATACTAAAACATCATCGCTTTGTGCCCTCCATGTATCGATCTCGAGCATCTTATTCAAAAACTGATCTTTTAGCAAATCATCTGCTTTATCTGAATTTAAATCTCTTAATTCAGAAAAAAAAGCGGTTCGAAAATGAAATCTGAAACAAGGTCAAGCCATTACAATTAGGAAATATATTGTGATTCTTAATAAATAAAAAATTAAGGAAAGCGCAGTAAGCAAACTATTCCATAAATTTAATTTCGAGGTCTAAATGTATGGTTTTTGAAACTCGTGCTCAAACAATATATCCGTATTTTAAATTTCGTCGAGAATTAAAGAAATGTTGTTTGAGCATGAATCTTCACAAGAACTAACCTAGCATTTGCAAGGCATATTTTAAAGCAGCAAGTGCAATTTGCGATGGAGGATAAAGAAGCATAACATCGCTGAACAATGATTTCTGAAAAAAAAAAGTTCAATTTCAACAGAAATTCGTGAACTGTGACAAAAAAATTAAAAACCGATCAGATGCTGTAGCATATGAACCTTGAAAAAATCGTTAGCATGTGGTCGAACTTGTTCCAAATCGAAACCTAACAATGAACGTGTTTTCATTTCGATCAGATGTCCTTCGAATGATCGGAACGGTGTATGTACCGTTAGTTGATATCGCAATTTCAACATTATCTGTGGTTCGAATGATAAAATCGTTTCACAATTTGATCTAGAAGTCCCGGATCTAAAGTTTCAGAAAGTAAAGCTGATTGCAAAATTTCATCATACAGCTTCTAACTTTTCAAGTGAGGGAATAACAGACTTTTAATAAAAAGCCTAATTACATTTAACGTCCAAAAAAACTTATTATATTTATCGAAAAAAGCTTATTATTTTATCGTGAAAGCGTATTGTACGAGAATAATATTAAACTTATATTTGAGGATGATAGCAACAAATGCAAACGAGAAACTAACTTCAGATTTCTAGTAAATTCGTCGATAGATATATTGAATTCATCAACTTTTGTAGCCAAATAAAAGCAAGACATCATCACACTTTTCGGTGAGTATTCCATTGTTGAATGATAAAGAAAGAACCGTTTAAAATATGCAAATGCTATCCAACGAGTTGATTGCCACATTGCAGGTGAGAAATTATCCGCAAACCTTAAAAAAATAAGAGTATAAATCACAGTTTTTTTTTCTTAAAAAAAGATACTGATCATGAAAGATTAAAAATAAAAAACATATATTTGCTCTTGATCTGTATCAAACATATAAAATAAGTGTAAACATACAAAATTTATAGTAATGTATAAATTATAAAAAGTGTAAATTATTTTATAGTAATGGAACAATGACAAGTAATACAAAATAGGAAAACTTACTAATTATCTCTTCTGATTAATGCTTGGTTAACTTTAAAAACTTCTTAAATCTTTAAAGATTCATTGAGAACAGGGTGAATAGTTACATAACAAACCTAACACCTGTTTCCGTGACAATACTTCTCAATAATGTTTCTTCTTCGGGTGTCAAAAAAATATCTTTCTGATCATCATCGATTACTGTTCCATATTTTGCTCGGAATTTTTCATTTGCAGCTTTCCTAGAAACAAAGGATAGCATCTTATTTGCTTGCTAACAACTCCCTAACGTCATAATTTTGAGTAAACTCTGCAAACAAAGAAGCAAAAAGTGATTGCTATTCTCATATATCATACAATTCATTTTCTAACCTTTCACCCTTTTATACAAATACCTTAAATCCAAAAGATCCTGTTGTGATGAAAATGTCCATTCTTTCTTTTGGGTACTGGTTGAAAACATGATAAACCTGAAAATACATTACATTCTTGCAGTCAATACTTGTCATTATACTACATCGAGATTCAAAAGAAACGGCTTCATTTCATTGACTTAAACCTGAGAAAAAAAATTAACTTCTCATACTCAAATGATCTAGTTAGCGTTGAGAGATTAACATTTCTTATATAATTATTGAAATTTATTTTTCTCGAACTTCATTGCCAGAAACGTATGTTATAGTTCACCTTCACTGATGATAATATGAAATTATTAAGGACAATGACAGAGCATTTGTTTCAGGATTTTCATTTGTTAAGGAGTATGCCCTAGTAGAAATACTAGAAACTGATCTTATAAAATTTAATGTCATTTAATGTGAATCTTCTACCTGTAAAAATCGGGACTGAATTTCTTCAGCTATGTTAACACAACAAAATATAATGCTTTTTCGGTATTTTTCGTATATTTCGTACATCCCCCCTAGTGTTTACTTTAGAAGATCAACATTTTGGTCTTAAAAATATTTCATTTTGTTCCTTCAGCTAGCAGTTAAAATATCCTTTTGCGCAAATTAAAAACGGTTGAACAAAGATTGACAACAATCAATATCATTAAGTTCATTATCAAAGATACTTCACTGCTAAAGAATTATAAATAGATGTTATTTATAGATTTCAATTAAATTTATATCAAGATTCCACCTAAGGTTTTTTTTATATTTAGCATGAACAATATGAATCAGTCATCAAATCAAATTAAGTAAACCATAATATCATTAATTCCATTTTTTTAGTCAATTTTCCTACACTAAGATTAAAATTTTTTTTAGCAATTTTTAGGCAAGAGCAGAAATTATTTGCCAATCCAAATAACTATGAGAAAAGCGCTATTTTGTAAATGAACTTATCAGAAGATGAACATTCATCGCCATAATAAAATGAAAAACCCACGAGGAAGAAGTAATAAAAAAACTTTAAATGTATACCACTAAACTTTTAACTCAATTCCCTTAATCCACAAATATTCTGAAAAGTCACTATTTTAAAAATGGACCATTTTAAATGACATTTCGCACCTGCTTCAACTGATTAGATGTATATCGGACATCCATATAGTTCACCAGCTTCTCTCGTACTCCTTCACCTATTGTTTCGCTTTTAGTTTATTATCAAGTAATTTTTGAACAAAAAATTCATAAAAAAGTGATATGACTAACAAAGTTCCACTCAAGAGTGTAAATAATTTGTTGAAGGACACAAGAACAAATGATGCAATTTATTTTAGCTGAAAAATAAAAATTTACTGAAAAAAATGAAAATAGATTTAATATAAAAACATATTGCTAGAAGCATTTGAAATATATCTGAACAATGGTAAAGAAACTACTAAAACGAATATTAAAACAATATAGTTTGTCCAAAAAACGGAAAAAAAAGAATTGGCTAAAATGGATATGAATGTATGAATGAAGAACAAAATTCATTTAAACTCCAATAATACTCCATTACAGAGATGTGAACAAAAACGACTCATTAATCATCAAGAAAAAAAAGAAAAATATAAAAATGAAAAAATATATAAAAAACATTAATTATTTAAACGAAAATAACACATTGACCAAAATTTGAGGCCTCTTCTAAGTAATAAAATTGAAAGGATTGAGAAACAATATTTGTGCCAATGGTTCATCAACACATTGCTACAAAGAAACTGTTTGGCAATGACAAGAAAATGGTAAAGAATAGAAATTATTAATTACGTAAAATGTTTTTGTTCAACGAAAGGGAAGTAAAAAATACAAACATGAATGAAAAATAAGAATAGCTTAGGAAAAGGAAATCAAAACTGCGGCAAAATCATTAGAAATGAAAGAAATTAGGCTTACAATCTGACTGTTTGTATCATATTAGCATTTTCTATACCGGTAGGTAGAATTGATGTGCATTAAATATGTTACTCAAGGCTTGACATTATTGATTTCAAGCTAGCAGTTAATAATGAAGAGAATTTTGTTTCAAACATAGCAACAATTGCTTATTACAGATGCAAGACCAGACGTGTAAAATATATATATAATTAAAACAAACAGTTGTGTTAATCAAACGGCTCACCAAGACGGATATCAGGAAATAACTATGACAGGTAACTTTATGCTTCAAAGAGATCAAAGACCCGTGCACTGAATACCGCCGAAAATCCAAACACAATGCAAACAGAATATGTATGATGCAGCTATTTAGTTCGAATTGGATAATTTATATACATGTTGAACGACGAAAATCGTTAGACGCAGTTTATATACATTGGATTTATTTCCCGAATTAGCCGTTGCTTGAATGAAAGGTTCATTAAATAAAAGGATGTATTATCGATTACGTTCTGAGTTTTCGTCAAACAAAGATAAAAAATTTTTCAATATTTTCGGCTCACAACAACCGATATTGGTCTTTTTTTGAAAGTTATTTGAAATAAGCAATTCAGCCAGCATCATACAAAATAATACCTAATTAAGCATTTATTATGATTTTCTAACAGCAGCATTTATACTTCCTGTGGTAGTTGCTGAAATATTTCGACCCTGTTCATTACTGGCATCGATTTCCGGCAAGAGAGTACCCAGAACACGTTCTTCAATTATCGGATCCGGATAATACGGTTTTGGATTAGTTGAGCTAATAATCTAGAAAAAAAAGTGATATTAAAAGTGATATCAACTTAGAAAATGCATTATTTAGAGCAAGGAAAAATTCTATGTAAACATGAAATTAATAATCAGTCAAAACGAAACTAACTTTTCCCGAAGTATACATTACACGACCTGGCTTCATTGCATCTACAACTCGCGTGAGATCATCGGCCTGGAAAATATATCGATTATGAATTTCTCTTCTCGCTAAATATTTTTATTAGCATGTCATTTTTTATTTTTAGCATAAGTCGTGCAAAAAGCGACATAAGACTGTTCTGATGATAATCTAAACATGGTGCACTGATTCTTACTTGTCTCTGTGTCATGCATGGCAGGATGCTGCCCGGCAATACGTAACCTCTTGGTGCAAGATGCAATTTATCACAGTGTCTATATTGCAAGTGAGTTCGCATGTCTGAACAGAAAAATGAACCGCATCCACACAGTGAACAACGCAAACGCATAATGCGTAAATGACTCACAGCATGCCGTCGTCCCTCCTGCAACTTCGTCTTTAAATGAAACAAATCAGGTACCAGTTCCATTTACAAAACAACTCTTCGCTGGTATTCTCCTGACTGCCTAGGATGCTAGGAATAAAATGCAGAATAATATACGTAATGATACTACTTTATCGTACGCCCATTATAACCTTCTTCCAAATATAATGCCGATGAAAATGTGCAAATGTATTTATTATTGCCACCTAGCAGTATTTTAGATATGTTTTTGAAAAAATCAAACAGAAACAATTTGCCAGAACTTTCACTGATAATATTAACCGATATATTCGCAATAATGTCGCCACATTGCATGCACTTATGGGCACTTGATGCGCCATCACTTGAAGGCGAAGCAGGACGGATGAAGGAAAAAAATAGATCACGTTGTGTTTCAGTAAGGTAGACAGGAATTTCAGAGAGATCCTTAGGCAAAGATGCCTCACCGTTTGAATAGCGCACAATCTAAAGAAAAATGTAATATCAAAAAACGATTGGAGACAATCCATTAATTTTTGAAATTTACAGCAGGTTGATTGAACATCAAATTAATCACACTATGTTAAACAAATAAACAATATAACTAATCGTTACACAGAAGTTATCAACTGAAATACAACTACATTTCACTTCCCATGAATAACTTGTCCTGTAATCAACGAACAATCAACATACCATGACTTCATCATTATTTTCACGGATTGTTGAGAGATCTTGCTTACGACGAGATTGCGATGCGGGACGCCCATCACCTGATGCTACATTTGTGCTGTCGTTAGTGGCTTGTCTTCTGGTATCTCTTGATGAAGTGCATGATATTTCTTCTTCATCTGCAATAAACCTAGTGAGTCTTTTTATTTCCAGCTTTACTTCCAGTCCTTTTTCTATAACTATAGAAATTTAACATAGTTAAATTTCATGACATATAAAACATCACATACATTCGAAGTTGCAAAAAAAGATGACTAACCGGCATTGGATAACAAATCATCTCCATATTTCATTCTTCGTGCTCGTGGAGTATACTGTAATCGGCAGGTTTTCTTGGTCTGAAACTTAAAATTAGAAGCGAAATATCAATAACAATCATCTCGTAGAAAATATTAATATTAATCATGAAAATATTATTATTAATCATTAATCAAAATATTGTTATTAATCAACATTTTCTGATAATGAAAGAATTACCATTACATCCCTGACATTTTCTGCACCAGCTGAAGATAGTGCAGCTGACGATAAGGGATGTGACGATCGTGCTGCACTATTGTCCAATTCATGGCTCGTGGTCGCAATATTACTATAAAAAACAAATGCAATTCTTCATGAATTTCTTTGATATTACGAAGAAGTGTAAGGGAGAAGGAAAAATAAATTACAGTATGTGGGACTAACTATGTGCTTTCATGTGGAGCAGGAGTTGATGAGTTCGATGTTTCTTCGCTGCTTGCCTCTGATTGAATACCAGGAATGGCACTGCAAAGATCAACAGGTGTTGAACTTTGACTATCTGCATTTTTAGTACATTTTGATTCAGTTCTCGATGATGGTCGACTTTGCCCCTTTGCTTGTGCATATTCCAAATCAACATCATCATCATCGCGACGAGCACGTTTATTCCTAAATTTTACAAATGGCATAAAATTGTGAAGAATAAGAATCAATTTCTTTGGAACACGAATATTTATTTGCCGGCGTAAAATGAAATATGTCGATGCTAACCACCAATTTTGTCCCAGCAACTCAACATATATTCACGATAACACAAATGAGTACACAATAAAGAATAAAGCTTAGTGACAGGAATGCTTACTTAAAGCCAGTAACATAGTTTTCATCAATCCAGTTTGGTTTACGACGCTGACGTGAAGGACGCTGTTTACGACTATCTTCAGTCTAAAAATCAAAAATTAAAATT